TACTACTACTACTACTACTAATACTACTAATACTACTACTACTACTACTGTTGGAGCTAGTACTTCTTGTAATTTTAATACTACTAGAAGTACTACTAGTAATGATACTACTATTACTACTGGTAATGAAGATGCTACTCCTACTTTTCCTTCTACTATTACAACAAATAATAATTATACTAATGGAGACGAAGTGGATTTGATCGCTGGGACACTCATTTACTTCGATTGTTATAGTTCCCACTAGTACTATTAATACTGTTGCTGCTATTGCTACTACAACTAGTATCACTGGCGTTACTAATAACTATGGCCACTTTTCACTACGGCTGCTACGGCGAACACTTGTACTACTTCCAGTTTATCACGATTGTTACTATTTCTATTCTACTACTAATATTACTGCTACCAGCACTATTAAAGGTACTTCTACTACTAGTACCACTACTATTCTCACATCCATTATCCCCTATTAAACCGGTTAGTCTTCCTTCCACTTTGCATGTCAAACTTCTCCTTTTATACTCGCCAAGTTATCCATATTCTCTGTTTGTGCCTTTAGATGAAGTTGCCGTCATCTCTGGGACAGCGAAAGATTCGGATTATTGAGAACTTCCTATCACACTATCAAATGGGTAAGTCGTCCTGGTCTGTCTGACAGTCAACTAAAATCATGTTGCTTAATGCACGGATGGGTGTTTTTACCCCGAATCAAACCTCTGGATTTTATTATCAAGTGACTGACGTTGAAGTAGTCTGTGAGGTCTTGTCTACAAACCGGCCTGAAGTGGCCAAGTTTGCATAAATTCTTTTGATTAAAAAGTGCTCTGCTCTGCGGGTACTAGACTGATTCATGGCACGCGGTCTGAGTGAGGCTTTATGCGGATAGAGAAAAACCTAAACTTTGCAAAACAAATAAAGTTTGAATGCGTAGAAAAATCAATAATGGTCTTTGCCTCCCACTCGTAGGTGGGGAGAGAGTTCGTGAAGAACACGCGTAAGTTCGCCGCGGAGAAAGCGTTTGTGATCGCAGTCTTACCAGCGTCGTCTTACCAGCTCGCTTGTTTCATCTCCCAAGAAGGTCAGTCTAATGAATACGTCTTTGATTTCTGCGGTTAAGGTAGCAGGCTTCTCGGTGCGTTCGTCAATATTCCTGATGATGATTTGCCGAAAACCTGTTTACCAAAACTGACTTCTCAAGTTCAACATGGGAATATTTA